CCCCCCCCTCCCCCAGGAAGTCAACGCGAGTCCTTCCTACAACACAGGAAACACATTTGGGCTTTAATGGTGAGCATTTCTCTGAGTCGATGATATCTGCGTGCATGTTGACCCCTTCTCTCTTTCCGTCCCCTGTTGTGGAAGTTGAGTTAACAGTGTTGTGTCGGAGTCTGCCCCCCCCCCCCCAAAACAACAACAACATCAGTTTCGTTTTCCTCACAACTGAACATCAGCAGTAATCCCTGATCCACGGCTCGGTATGTCACACAGCCGCAGTGATCGTGGCTAAAGTAATAGTAATACGCGGTTGTTGTGTGTTTAAATAATATCAGGAGATATCAGTATTGCAATATTTTGTTTTGTGATATTTATTTTTTTTATCGGTTTTTGTATTTAAACTCCAAACCACTAGATAGCAGTGTTGTGAAACGTGAACCGAGGGCTTGTAATGTTGGATGTTACTGTGATGAATACAATCCAAAGTTCAGTTTTACTCGATTAGACGACTTCACAGGTGATCTAAGTGTGATGGAAACGAGCTGTGATGTTTGGATGAAGGTTAAATGTGTGACAAACAGCATTATATAACTACTGAGGTGTCCTCATCTAACAAAGCCTGGAAGAAAACACGTTTGTTTGCTAAAGACCCCCTAAAAAATCCACATCATGATTTTAATAGTTGTTTATTTTTGTGTAAATTAATTCTGTAATGCAAAAAAGTGATAATTCCCACATAATCGTGAATCGCAATATACGTCAAAATAATCACAGATATATATTTATTGTATTACAGAAGCTCATTGATTCACAATTATCGCAATATAGGAAATTCACCACGATTAATTTATGTTATTTATTGCGATACGCATCTATATTGTATATCGTCCCATCCCTAGGCACGAGACGCCTAACCATAAACTAACATTAGCCGTAATTAATTCCTAACAGCAGCCATGAAGGATACACAGTTAAAGGAGGAGACGGACGTTGACACGTCACTGCTCCTGCTTCGACCTCATGAGATGAGTTTGTGTTTAGAGGGTCGGTAAACATCGCTGACAAGAGTAGATTTATATTAGTGCCTCCTTTCAATCGTTTACAGCGGCGTAAACCTTTGGAAATGTGTGATAAGCACTGTATTAAGGCTGCAACTTACACACATTTCTTTGATCAATTAACCTGTTGACTGTTACTTTGATCTGTCAATAGATTATTTTGCTTATAAAATGAAAAACATATGTAGAAAAATAGGCTTCGTGCTTTCTGAAAGTTAGTTTTTTGTCAATACGAAACCTGTTAATTATCTGCTTCTTGTGGCCAATACAGGAAGATAACCAGTGACTGTAATTACCTATAAACTGTAGTTTATACACACCGGAGGCTAAGAACGAGGAGAGCAAAAATGGATCATATAATATTGTTGTTGTTTACACAACAAACAAACTAAATGAGAATTATTGTACTGTAATTTAATTATTGGAATAATGCATACTATACATTTTATAACTGTCCAAAACCTAAAGATATTCAGTTTACAGCAATAGAGATTAAAAGCAAACTCTTGCATATGAAAAGCTAAAAGTGGAAAATGTTTGTCATTTTTTTTATCGATTAAACGACATGAGCAGTGAGCCAGAATGGTTGCTGCTTATTTTCTGTCACCAGCTAATTGATCTCAGCTCTACGCTGTATTGGGAACAAGGTCAAGGTACCGTTCACAGGTCTCCCAAATCAGCTGGAGTTACAGCAGAAAAAGTGCTGCCAGAGTTTTAACTGGAGCAAAGAAACGGTCTCGTCTCACTCCCGTTCTTAAGTCCCTGCACTGGCTTCCAGTTAGCTGCAGGAAAATATGTATTTATAGACTTTCCCTTCCACTACGTAGTTTTTATGATTCAGAGAGATGTCTCTGTTAGTCCACTGACTCAACGCTGCGCACTGTACCAAAATCTAGGTACAGCAGCAATGATGCGGTCTGCAGTTATGGACCCAAACTGTGTAATTATCATATCAGGGAAGAAGGGAACATAAATATCAATCAAGATGTTTTAGTGTCCGTTTAAAAACTCACATTTTTTTAGCTTTCTTTTGACTTAGAATCGGCTATTACTGCTCTGCTGCCATTGTTTGATGTGCACTCGATCTAAAAGGATTACTCAGTGGACAGAAAGTTAATCGGCAACTATTTTGATCGTTTATTAATTGTGTCGACGTTGAGCATACGTGCCAGTCGTTCTCTGTTTCCAGCCTCTCCGTTGTGAGAATGTTCAAAATAGCCGTAGCTTTTGGACTGGTTGCAATTTGATGACGTGACCTTGAAATGTAGGAAATTGTAGCATTTTTTTTCACCTTTTTTCAGACATTTTGTTTACCAAGCGATTAATGTGTTGATGGAGAAAATAAAAGTTAGGTTAACCAATTAAGCGATAATCATTGCTAGTTCCAAACATGTGAGATGCTGCATGTAGTTTATCCTGTGAGAAATGTACGTGAAAGATTTAAAATAGATTGGGATTTTTGTTTTTGCGGACTGATCACCATCTCACACTGCTTCCTTTAATTTCAAACCAACATATTTAGTACTGATTTAAAAAAACCTGATACACACACGTCGAGGTGAAGTTTTTGTCCACAAGAAAATCAGTGAATTCTCCCTAAAATCAAGCCACAAAACTTTGTTAATGTACGAAAGTTGTTGTGGCAACATCAACATCATCTTTTTCTTTTATTTTTAGAAATAAAACAGGAAGTAAAATGAATGTTATTTTTAATTATTAATTAATTTATTTTACATGGGAAATGTCAAAAATAGTTGCAGCAGCAACACTGTAAGCAATCAGAACTTACTAGTTTATTTGACCATAGTGTTTGTAGTAAGACTGTAAGAATTAGGATTTCTCTTTGTTAGTTGAGTAACTTCTGTATATTTATGTTTACATAAGCCATAAGGTTACATGTGAAGTAGATTTATACAATATGTGGTCACATAGCTTCACCTGAATTGGTAAAAGAAGCTTCAACAAGCTGTCACATTGATTTTGTAGTGTGTTTTTTTTCTTTTTTTACCCAGACTTTAGGTGGCCTGCCTCCCTGGTCATTCTCAGCGTGGTGTTGACTCCACCAGGGACGAGAGCAGCAGGGCAGG